CCCAGTAATTATAGACCCAGTAATCAGTTGTGAGAAAAGTTTTGGATAGCCTGATAAAAGATGCTTTGCAAAGTCATTTAACAAAATTTAGAATTTTACTGGATAGTCAACATGGTTTCACTAAGGGAAAATCTTGCCTTGCAAATCTGTTAACATTCTTTGAAAAGGTTACTGCTCATGTAGATGAGAATAAGGGTGTAGATTTGGTGTATCTGGATTTTCAGAAAGCATTTGATAAAATGCCACATAAAAGGCTTGTAAACAAAATTAGCTCTATAGGTGTGGGGGATAAGTTAGCAATTTGGATAGAAGAAAGCAGATGGTTGTTACAAATGGAGTTCAATCAAACTGGATTAATGTCACAAGTGGAGTACCTCAAGGCTTACATAGATGTAGGATAGTCAATAAATTACTTAAATTTGCAGAGGATATTAAGGTCTTGGGTGTTGCTAGCTGTGAAGAGAATACTGCTGGTCATTTAGTGAGTTGGACAATAAAATGGCAGATGGGTTTTAATTATAATAAATCCAAGATAATGCATGTGGGTTATCATAATTTGAATTATAAGTATATTTTGGATGGGAATAACCTTAATTGTGCTATGAAGGAAAGGGGTCTTGGTGTAATAGTTGATCAGTCTCTAAAGCCATCCAAGCAGTGTGCTGTTGCTAGTGATAGGGCAAATAGAATTTTAGGATGTATCTATAGAAATAATGAATACAAGTCTAAAGAGGTTATACTTTCATTGTACAGGTCCCTGGTTAGGCCCCATTTCGAATATTGTGTTCAGTCTTGGGCTCCTTATCTTAGGAAGGACATTGAATTGTTGGAAAGGGTTCAGTGAAGGGTTACTAGAATGGTGCCTGGGATGGAGGGGTTGTCAAACGAAGAGGCTGAAATCTCTCAAATTGCTCTCTCTTGAAACAAAAAGTGTTGGGGGGGATCTGATTGAGGTGTTTAAAATAGTGAAATAGGAATTTATAGTGTTGATGTATCATCTTTTTTTTTTATATTTAACAGTGAGAATAGTACGACTATGGGACACACATATAAATTTTGGTAAGGTAGTAGTCATCTTCAGCTAAGACAGTTTTATTTTTCTAAAAGGGTAGTTGGCCTTTGGAATGGGTTGCCTTCATATGTTGTAGATGCAGTAAGAGAGTTTAAGAAAAGGCTTGATAAGTATATGAATGAAAAGGCCTGGCTTTATGATTTTGTTATTTTCTTTCTTTTTAATCATTTTAATTTAGTTTTGAGG